CTTTGTATGAGAATGATAGTCTCCTTCCTGTGATTACTGCCTCTGAAAACTCACTGGAGGGTCAGCTATGGGATGGTTCCTTCATTGATACATAACACCCATCACAACCATAGGAGAAACATTCTCTGAGGACAAGAAATCTGCCTTTAGGTTTTTAGTGGCATTCATTCAAAGGACTAGGATACAATATTGTCTATAAGGGGCTTGTTGTTATTTTCCATCGAATCGCCTGCAACTCATAGCGACCCTTTGTACAACAGTCCTAAGCCCTGCTCTATCCTGTGCCAATCGCACCGTCTCCAATACACCTACCCCCATTATCTCAGTCATTGAATCAATCCACTTCATAGAGGGTCTTCCTCTCCTGTGCTGTCCCTCCACCCTCTCAAGCATGACATCTTTCTCCAAGGACTGGCTCTTCCTTGCAACATGTCCAAAGTATGTCAGATGAAGCTCCAGAATCATTGCCTCCAAGGAGCAGCCTGGTTTAACCCCTCTCCAGGATGAACCGGTTCATTTTCTTAGCAGTCTATGGTATATTCAATACTCTTCTCCAACACCACAGCTCAAAGGCATCGATTCTCCTTCTATCTTTCCTAGTCATTGCACTCACCAAATAATAAGTGCCTGCTCATAGAACAGTGAGTTCCCTTTTCCTTGTGCCTACCTTGCTGTCCTATTACAAATGAGAAACTCCAATCCTAGAGTTTCAAATGGAGACTTCACAGAGACAGTTTCCTAGTTTGCCACAATTCCTGATTTGCTGCATACTCTGTCCAGCTCCCATGTAATTTCTTCTGTAAGTAATTTGTGAGTTTCCTTTCTCTTCCCTCAATCAAGTTTGAAGGTAGCTAACATATGTACTCATCTTTTATCAGACAACATCAATACAGTGCTTAGCACATGATAGGAATACAAATAATGGCCAATTCATTACCTTAGCTTTACTCTCATGACCACTGGAGGTCCAACCTGGGAGACAGTGAAAGAAGTAAAATGAACACACTTTTGAAACTCTAGTTTTGACTTGGTTTCTGTAACCGAACATGCCAGATTGTCATGGTCAATGGATAATAAACCAAAATAGACATCCGAGAGATGCTCAGGGATCAAGATTGAATTTAGCCACCGTTCCTCTTCCTTAAAGGTTTCCTTTGCTAATTAAAATGTTCCATTTGTTTCCCCTTCTCCCAGTCAATGGTTTCATCTGTGAGTTCAAAGGCTTAATAAATAAAATATATTAAGAGTATTGATTCTGTGCCATCTCTTCCTAAATGAGCAAAGAATACTTGCGGATGTGACTCAGACATATTTTTAAAATGCTTACAGAGGATAAGAAGTTTAGAAAGAACGGTTTTTGCCCTCTTTGCCCAACAGGCAGGAGGACTCTTCACATTTCAACATTGTACGAGTTTTAAACAGTCTGTAGATTGTCTAATACACTGGAGCTGCTCAAGGTGACACTGTTGTCATATATTTTGCAAATAATATGAACCAAAGCAAAACTACCAGCACTGAGTTGATTCTGACTCACCATGACCTAGGCCTAGATTTCTGAGGCTGTAAACCTTTACAGGAAGAGACCACCCATCTTTCTTTAACAAAGCAGTTGTTGATTTGGACTACCAGCCTCGCCATTAACAGCCTAACACAAAATGCACTATGCCATTAGGACTTCTTTGCAAACAATGCATGGCATCTAAAATCTCCTATGACTTTGTTCTTTTACCTGTAACCTCTCAAGCAAGAAATCTCTCCATCTCCCCTACTCTTATTCATTGTTTAGAGTAAAAACTCACCCTTGACTTTTCTATTGAATTTTGAAGGCTTTAAATCACATGAAACTTGAGTGCCAATTTTTATTTTTTTAATAGAATTTTTATTTTAATTGTGATTTTGACAAGTTTACAGAAAAGTGAGCATTTTCATTCATTCACTGTTGCACATTTTATCCCTTCTCCTCCCCAACTTGACTTTATATGCTCATTTGGTTATAAAACTAGAATACATTTTTTAATAACAGAGATTCTTCCAAGTTTCTACCCACCCACATACACCCCCTTTCTTATATAGAGCTGCTGGTAGACTTGAAGCACCAGGGATGAGTATGAATTAAGTCAGCAGACCTTGCTGTACACTCTTTGATCTATATAAACTTCCAATGGCACTAGCATAACAATCTATGTTCAAGACAATCTGTGCTCCGGGGTTCCTTTCCTTGTGTTTGGTAATAACTATGTGGATTTGCTTTTTTACATTTCTTTTAAAAGACTTAATACTAAACAAACCTCCCACTGTTTCAAATTCCAATTCATTTAAAAAATGTCTAGATGATTAACCAAGTTGGGATCCCAGTACATCATGAAACCTAAAGAAACATATAGGATTTAATTCATATTAGAATTTCAAATCAGGCTTAATGAATTGGAGGGAATAGTACCAATAAGTGGAATTTGGATTGAGAAGGATATTAATTTAGGGAATAATAAATATTGTTTTAAGGTTTTTGCAGTATGACTTCTAATAATCGAAGTACTAGAACATAGGATAATACAAACTGTTTTTATTATTACTCTTCCCCTTTCTTAATTTGAGCATTATGTACCTTCAAGGCTACCACTGGCAATACTTTATGCTTCTATCCTAACTCTAATGGGCCAGCTATGTGGAGTAATTAGAGACACCTCAGACAGTTTTATTGTTAGGTGTCATCAAATAGATTCAAAATTATAGAGACCCTACATGTCAGAGTAAGACTGCTAGAAAGGGGGTCCTAAAGCATTGATGCCTAAAGCACTGAGCTGATAACCAGATGATGGGCAGTTTGAATTACCAGTCTTACAGCCACACAAATGCAGTTGAGAGTCTTTAGAAGTCCTAACAGGTCAGTGGGTTTGGTGGGCAGCTTTACAGAAGTGGCTCCCTGGGTCCTTTCTTCCACTGATTGTGGGGAGGTTCCAACCACCCACCTCTAGGTCAGCAGCTGAACACTTAAATAGCATGCCATCAATGTGGGTTAGTCTCATAAGGAAGTGCCCTGCTTACCCAAAAGTCATGCTTTCCTGTTGGTTCAAATCTACCAGCAGATTGGTGCAGGAAAGATCAGCAATCTCAAATTCAAGGGAAGGTTGTTTCCTACTTGATATGCCAGATAAATGTACCTCATAACTTTTGTGTGTGTGGCTTATTCAATAGCGAGCATATTCAACAATAGTTATTCTATCATCTCATCCTTTTCCAAACTAGTACATGACAGTAGCTAGGTGGGTTTTTTTCCGTTGGGTTTTGTGTTTTGTTTTTTTGTTTGTTTTTTTTACTACTTTTTAAAATTAGTGTTGATGAACATTTACAAAGATTTTGGATTTCCATTATTTTTTCCAAAACATCCAACTTTGCTTTAAAAAGAATTGTGTGTCTTTGAAGAATGAAATCTGCCTTTTTAAGTATTTGTATTCGATATCTCCCCAATTACCTTGAAAAGCAATAATCTTAAAGGTAGTCCAGTACTCAAAAATACTGTTGTTGAATTAATGAAATAATTTCCAATTTATAAGCATGATAACTTTCTCAAATTCCAGTTGTTTATTAACATCATACACTGGTTTAAATGCCAGCAAATTCACTTTCTTCTCTCCTTCTCCTCGAGTGACAATCTCTTCTCCTCGAGGGACGATTCCCAGACGCCAGCCAGCGGTCTGACTGGGGATCAAACACGTGCATTCCTGGTGTTGTGATATGAAATACTAATGAGGAAGTCAGGCGCTAAGCCTTGAGGGCTTCTTATCTCGCTTGTGTTAAACCCTCCACTGGGAAGGGGGGCCCAGGGAAGTAAGACTGACCCGGTATGTTGGACCCTGTCAGCTGTCGCTCCAGCCACTTTGATCTCGTGCCTCTGCCTAATCAAGTTCATCTACTGCCGGGACTGTTCACATTCAAAGAACATTAAATAGTTTGATTATCGAATGGTCATTTCCCTCAGCCCCGCCGCCCTGATCTAATTTCCAAACTCCAGTCTCTCGCCTCTGTCTCCCCACTTCCCATCAACAGAGAATTAGTTCTTCCTTTCTTATCCTTGTTTGATGTGCAAATTTCTCTTTTCACATTTTTTTTTTTTTGCGGTGATGGGCCAGAGGTGGGGGTGGGGGTGGTGTCAGAAGAGGTTGAAGGAACCCTAGGACCCCGCCTCCAAATCCTGAAAACTGAGGGTCTAAAGGGTTAATCAGCAACTTGCACCGGCCACCTGGCCCTCTCTGGAAGCAAATGTGGGGACTTCAGAGGACTGAGTGATTGGTTTGAGTAACGTTTGTGTGCACAGTTAGTGTTAGCAAGTGCAGGACCTTCACCGTAAAATGATGTCCAGTCTGTCCCCTTAATGCCTGGATCCTTGGAAACCCCTTTGGGACAACCAATTCTCCGTGGCCCTATAGGGTCATCTTGTGCCCAGAAAGGATACAGAGTCATGGGCATTTGAGGACAAGCAGCAAAAGGTGGTTTGCAGACTATCATAATTGCTCTCTGAAAAGTATTCAGATCACAGCACCCTAGACCCCATAGTCAGGCCAGGCATCGGAGTGCTACACCACCCACCCCCACCCCTGTCTCCATTAAAACCGTAGGCACAGCACCCACAGATAACAGTCACCCTACAGAGACTACAGACAGAGGAACGACCATGCCAGGAGGGGCGGGGTGAAGAGTGTCAAAGCCCCTCTCCTTGTACACAAACACACCCCCTCCCAGGTCCTCCCAGCGCTTTGAAATCCCATCCTGGCTTTGTTGTCTCCCCAGAGGGGCGGAACGCTCCCAGCCGGGTGTATAAAGGCAGTTGGTGGCTGCGGCTGTGCACAGCTCCCTGCGCCCCGCTAACAGCGCTCTGGGTCCAGGGAGGCACCAGGACCCTGACTGCAGGCGCGCCAGCCAGGGCGCCAGCTCTGGAGGGGATCAGCTTGCCAAGCGACATCCGTCCTTTCTCTTCCTCTCTCTCTCTCCCAACTCCTGAGATGACACTTCGGGGCACAGGAGTAGTTGCCCGGCTCTTGGTGGCCCTGGTCGCGGTGGCCCTTGGAGGTTACCCTCTCCTCGGGGTGAGCGCCACCTTGAACTCCGTGCTTGTCAATTCCAATGCCATCAAGAACCTGCCCCCGCCGCTGGGAGGCGCTGCGGGGTCGGCGGTCAGCGTGGCGCCCGGGATTTTGTACGAGGGCGCTAACAAGTACCAGACCCTTGACAACTACCAGGTGAGAGGCGCTGCAGAGACCCCGAAGGGGACCCACCGGGGGCGGAGGGCTTAGAATGTGCCTGGGGTGCAATGCTGGCCTCATGTGGAGAGGCTGCCATTGAAAGCCTTGGCAGGAAACAGCTTTTGGAGCAAGGGGCCTTAAAAGCCCGGCTGCTCACCCCTTTGGCGCCCCATTCCCACAGCCGTACCCCTGCACCGAGGACGAGGAGTGTGGCCCCGACGAGTACTGCGCCAGTCCGCTCCGCGGAGGCGCGGCGGGTGCGCAGATCTGCCTGGCCTGCAGGAAGCGCCGCAAACGCTGCATGCGCCACGCCATGTGCTGCCCGGGGAATTACTGTAAAAATGGTGAGTCCTGCAGCCGGGATGGGAACTCGACACACCCGGATTTTGCAAAGCACCGTGCACTGTGGACTCTGAGGCGCCACCTGCAAATGACTAAAAACAGTCTCTTGGTGTTCAGCATGCTGGGACTTCCAAAATGTGTTTACTAGTAGAAGAGAGAAAGTAGTAGTAGAGAGGAGGGGCGGTGTCTTGGAGACAATCTTCTGAGTCTCATGTTCTGAAAAGCGGTTATTTACCACCTAAGATGCTTGCTTAAAAGTATGTGTGGGGACAAACTTGGGGGTGATTATAAAAGGATGGTGCAGTAGGTTGGAATATAATGGGTAGGATCAGTATGTATGTATGCTTAGCTTCCGTTTCAGCTTTTCTTACTGTGGACTCAAGTCAGTGGTCTTCCTTCATCCCTTTTGAAACAATGCCCACAGAGTGATTTATCTGCAGTGGCCATTCTTAACTCCCTATCTTGTTTCTGCTTCTATAACAGAGCTGCCTTAAAATAAATTCTACCTACCACAGCTCCACTAAAATTTGATGTTTCAAAGAAGTAGACTTGTTGGTAAACTTAGCCTGCCCAAGAACCTTCCAGAAATAAACTTGCAGGGTGGTAATCCTTCTTGGAACCCAGAAATACTCTACTAACAAAATCTCTATAATATAGAAATTATACAGTCAAGAGTGAGAAACAGTAATCTTGCAGGTAGCTGGAATTTCATTTGCTTAAATTAGTTTGGCAATCTTCATGTAGCACCAAAGGAAGAGTTACTTTAAAAAACCACCTTTTTTTGTTTTTAGTGACTGATTTTCTATTTTTTTAACCCAAGGGTGATATTAAAATGGACAGACACCTTACTGCCACCATAACTGACAGTGGAGAAGTGTTTTTTGGTGACTGACCCTGATGTGTGTGACTGCAGAGTGTGCTTCTGTCTGTAACAGGAGTTTTGTACTAACACCCAGACACTCTGTCTCATTGTACTTAAGTGGAACTGACTCACAGCAGACCCTCCATTGGAATTCCAAATCTGTTAATTGCACAGGTGGTAATTACCTATCTTTCTCCCTGGACCTACCGGGGGATTTGATCTTCCAAGTAGGTGTAGCCTTAGAGATTCAGCTTTGCTGCTGTGTTAAATATACTCCTGCAGCAAAGTGTTTAGTTGATATAGGCTGAAGAGACAGCCCCTTTTAAAAGTAAATCTCTGAACGGTAAAATAGTACAGTCTTAGATTTCATCACTGTCTTTTATTTCTTTAGGAATATGCATGCCTTCTGATCACAATCATTCCAGCCGAGGGGACATTGAGGAGACCATTATCGAAAGTTTTGGTAATGATCACAGCACCTTGGATGGGTATTCCAGGAGAACCACGCAGTCCTCAAAAGTATATCATACCAAAGGTACAAGACAGAATTCAAGATCCATGCTGCCTTGCTAATCCATCACAAGCATCTTATGAATTTTGTTAATAGAATTATGCAGGCTTAGCAGTAACCATGTGTCCCCCTCTGACCCATAACCTACCCCCATCTCCTCCTTCCTAGGACAAGAAGGTTCTGTCTGTCTTCGATCATCAGACTGCGCCACAGGGCTATGTTGTGCTAGACACTTCTGGTCCAAGATCTGCAAACCTGTCCTCAAAGAAGGTCAAGTGTGCACCAAGCACAGGAGAAAAGGCTCTCATGGGCTAGAAATATTCCAGCGTTGCTACTGTGGAGAAGGTCTGTCTTGCCGGATACAGAAAGACCACCATCAAGCCAGCAATTCTTCCAGGCTTCACACCTGTCAGAGACACTGAACTCACTGGCTGTCTAGCCGTGAAGGACTGTTATATAATATATGCTATAAAAACCTATTATGACCTTTTTTGTTAGCTCACTCCTAAGGATGTACACATTTTGATATTATAGTTAAGCATTCCAATAATACTTTTCTAAAATCTGGAGTGTAAGAGCTTTGTTTCTTTATGGAACTTCCTGTGATTGATTGCAGTAAATTACTGTGTTGTAAAGTCTCAGTGTGGCACTTAACCTGTAAATGCATCAAAGCTTTTAATTATTTTTCTAAAGGTGCTGCATTGTCTATTTTTTCTCCTGTTATGTAAATTTTTGTACACATTGATTATCATCTTGACTCCAGTAAATACTCTATATTGAAATAAAATAATTTCAGTTGATACTTTCTAGAGCCTTCTCTTGTAGAGCCTTCTCTTTGTAGAGCCTTCTCTTTTAATTCTAGAGGTTAGAATGAACACAAAAAGTGCTTGGAATGACAAGTGATGGGAACCTAAAATTCAGCATAATATTGTGGACTGGTGTACTTCCTGCAATGGACTATCTCGGTGTTTAGATTACCATTATCTTTGGACTGTGATAGTCCTTGAAATTAAATTTCATGTTCAGCAGTATATGATGTAAGCATAGATGAATTTTGATATTATCATATAGGTTTATATATATGTAGATATGAATGTGTTCTACAGGGAAAGAAATGTAGTTCATTTAAAGATAAGAGAAAGGTTATAATCTAAGGGAGAGTGGTCTGGTGGCTTAGAGATAAGGAGTTGCACTGTCAACTCAAAGGCAGGCAGTTCAAATTCACCAGTGGCTCCATGAGAAAAAGATGGGCAATTTCCTATCACTGATTTACAGCCTCTGAAAAATCCACTGGGAAGTCAGCTATTATGAGTCGTTTCCAACTAGACAGTTCATAAAATTTAAAGAAAAATGTGATCTCTCTATTAATAAGCCTAACTGATGTTAACTTGAGGTTTGTGTTGGAGAAGAGTACTCAATATACCATGGACTGCTAAGAGAACAAACAAGTCTGTCCTGGAGAGAGTGAGAGGCCAGGCTGCTCCTTGGAGGCAAGGATTCTGAGGCTCCGTCTAACATACTTTGGACATGTTGTGAGGAGGGACCAATCCTTGGAAAAGGACGTCATGCTCGGGAGGGTGGAGGGACAGTACAGGAGAGGAAGACCCTCGATGAGATGGATTGATTCCGTCACTGGGATAATGGGGATAGGCGTGTCAGAGACAATAAGATTGGCAAGGGATAGAGCAGGATTTACAGCTGTTGTACATAAGGTCGCTATGTGTCTCAAGTGACTCGACAGCATATTACAACAACTTAAATAGTTTCTAATAGACCTTAATGGCAAATGTAGTTCCTTAAAGGTAATAAGGAAAAACTACTGTTTTTATTAGTGCCTTTGCTGGTTTAGTGGTAAGGGGTTTGCTGCCAACCCAATGTCACACCATTTGAATCTACGAGCTATTCCATAGGGAAAAAAATGGGAAATCTTCCTGTGCAATTTACTTCTCTGAAAAACCACCGGAGAGTCAGCTGACTCAGTTCCAACTTGATGATATATTACCACAACTAATGACAAAAATGGAATTTAGAAACAAGACTTTGGCAGGTAAAAATCTTTGATGGTTTCTATGAAAGGCCTGTGTTGAAATAGAATATATACAGGCAGATTTTTGTACCAGATAAAATAATTTCAAATATCTGAAATACTACTATATACTAGGCAGATTTATTCTAATTTAAACAGGCTGTTTCCAACTCACAGGTTGTTATTGTTGTGAGTCGCATGCGACTCATAGTGACCCTGTGAAGGAGAGTCCTCGATGCTTGGGTGCCTTTCATCCTCTCTCCATGTTCATAGGGTTTCCGGAGGCAAGCTACTATGGAAGTGGATGCCACTCCTCCTTCCAAGAGTTATATAGCAACAAACTAGGGAAAGGGAGGTCTGTCTGGTGGCTGAGTGACAGCAGTTATTCCAGCCTAACAGCCTGCTGTTCAAGCCAGCAGCAGCTCCATAGGAGCAAGATGAGTAATCTTCTGTGTGATTTACAGCCTCTAAAAAATGACCATAAAGGGTCAGCTACAAATAGTGTATGATAACAATACACTAGAGAAAGCAGAGAACAACTCTCAATTTTTGCCTTCACTTTGTAACATACCAAAGATTGGGATCAAACCCATAAAATCCTGAGTTTAAGACATTCAAAGGACAATGACATATCATAACACATGCCCTGGAATGATTGTTCTTGGATTGCTGGAAGTGACTGGATCTCAAGGGGCTTCAGCCAACAGGACAGAAACTTTGCTTGGTTCGTCACTGTGAGGGTAACTAGCAGGATGTCTGTTGTTACATTGCTTTTGTTTGGAAGTTTCAGCTTCCTCAACATGAGAGACTTTCTACATATGCTTACTTTCCCAACTGCCGGGAAGGCCAATTGTAAGTCGTGCTGTATCCAATAAAGTACAACAGAGGAAACAGGAAAACGCTTCTTCAGAAAGAAGGGCCTTCTATTTAAGAGGGGAAAGTAGAAATATTTTAAAGGGACCTGCTGATCAGATTCCTTCATTTCTAGAGGAACCTAATGTGGCCAGAGAATCTTGGTCCTGTACATCTTGGGACAAGCCAAAAGAGTCAGTCTCCTTGCTTTTTTCATGAGATGCAGCTGGGGAATAAGAGATCAAGGTTCAACATCTTTCCCCCCATCTCACTGAGACATCAGGAATGGAGGTCTATTAAAACAGTCTGCATATTTATAAAGCTAAAAAATATTCTAAAAAGTTATATTTTATCTAGTAATACAGCCTATCAGGTGATCGTGTGACTCATAGTGTCCCTATGTACAAAAGCTCTGAACACTGCCCTATCCTAAGACAGTCTCACTGTCACCAACATGACTATACCCATTACCCTAGATATTGAGTCAATTCATCTCACCCAGGGTCTTCCTCACTTGTGTTGTCCCTCCGCCCTTCCAAGCATCATGTCCTTCTCCAAGGACATTTTTCATAATTACTGCTTAAAATGTGCATTTTATTTTTCTTTTGAAAAAATGTACATGAAAACAGACATATGTAACACTTTCATAAGGTCAAATTTTGAAATTTCATAATTTCAAAATTGGGAAGGGTGTGCGCCAGGGATGTGTCCTCTCTCCATACCTTTTCAACCTGTATGCAGAGCAGATTATCCGAGAGGCCAGGCTCTATGAGGAGACGTGTGGCGTTAGGATTGGTGGAAGATCTATCAACAATCTGCGTTATGCAGATGACACAACCTTGCTCGCTGAAACTGAGGAGGTCCTCATGCACTTACTGCAGAGGGTCAAGGACTGCAGCCTTCAGTATGGACTGAGGCTCAATGTCAAGAAGACAAAGATTCTCACCACTGGACCAATTGGTAGCATAAGGATGGATGGCGAAGAGATTGAGATTGTTCACAGCTTCAGTTTGCTCGGCTCCACAGTCAACACTCTTGGCACCAGCAGCCAGGAAATAAAAAAAAAGTATTGTGATGGGGAAGTCTGCTGTTAGGGACCTCTCTAAAGTACTCAAGAGCAATGGTGTCTCTGGAGAAGAAGGTGCGCCTGATACAGGCCATGGTCTTTGCAATCACTTGTTATGCATCAGAGAGCTGGACAATGACTAGGGAGGACAGAAGAAGAATTGATGTCTTTGAGCTGTGGTGCTGGAGAAGAGTATTGAATGTACCACGGACTGCCAAGAAAAACAGATTCATCCTGGAGAGGGTTAAACCAGGCTACTCTTTGGAGGCAAAGATTCTGGGGCTTCGTCTGACATACTTTGGACATGTTGTAAGGAGAGACAGGTCTTTGGAGAGGGACATCATGCTGGGTAGAGTAGAGGGACAGCACAGAAGGGAAAGACCCTCTATGAGGTGGATTGATTCAGTGACTGGGGTAATCAGGATGGGTGTGTCAGAGGCAATGCGATTGGCACGAGATAGAGCAAGGTTTAGGGCTGTTGTACATAGGGTCGCTATGAGTTGCAAAGGACTCGGTGGCACATAACAAGGAGTGCCTCGTCCTTTTTCTTATTGTTGCACTAATGTATAAGGTTTTGGATTGACTAAACCATAATTTGTTCAATCAGCCCATTATTGAGTAAAATCCTTTCCACTGGATTTAGTTTTGTTTTGGGGGCTTGGTATAAAATTTGCATCCTTATGCTGATATAATTAACAAAGAAATACACACACACACACACACAAAAATCCCACCAAAAATCAACTCACTGCTGCCTAGTCAGAACCAAATCAGTTGATCTTTCAGTAGATTTTTGGAGGCTGGAAATTGCATGGGAAGAGACACCTCATCTTGTGGTGTAGTTGTAGGACAAGATAAAAACTACTTTTTGAGATAAAATCTACCCAAAGTATGCTGTCTCTAGATAGTTAAAGTCTGACTTTGGCAAAATAGCAGGATATCTGTGTATCATTATTCTAGTGAAGATTAAACCTTGTGAAATTGTATCAAAGGAGGAAAGGGGAAATACAGGCTTACAATAACAATTTCACAGTAAACCATAATCTCTGGAATTCAGCTGAAGGTAGACTTGCTCTAATTACTTTGGTTTTAATTATATATATAAAAGAAAATCATAAGTCTTTTCCTCACTACACCTCCACTCTGTAGTTTACCAAGGAAATTGATATAACAAATGTTATTTAAACCTTATTTAATCTATTGACTGGAATAAGGATGGGAACATATTGTTTTTAAAAAAACCCATATACATGCATTTTCACTATGCATATACAGTAATCTGGGGTCTTCATCTGAGTACTGCTAGAGAATTTTAATCCAGTGGACCTTTACTGAGCGTTGTTGGAGCTCTGGTAGACCTGGTCTATAGGGAGTTGGGCTGCTAATCATGCCTTTGTAGTAGTTTGAATCCACCAACATCTATGCAGGAAGAAGATTGGCAGCTTCCTCCTGAGTGATTTACAGCTTTGGAACACACTGGAGGGTCAGCTATGTGTTAGTCCTGACTCCACAGCAAGGAATTTAATATATGCTATGGTCTCTAATGTCAAACAAAGGAGAGAGAGACAATACCTGTTATTGCTAGAAGATGGCTTAGTATTGTGGGTAGAAA